CATGCCTTAACGCTTCGGGTTTTCTTTTCCCTTGTGTTTAGGGCATGTTGTGAATCTATCTACGCGGTGGCCATTTTGCTCCTAGCCTTGACCCAAACTTGCTGTTTCATTTGAAACCCACCCACCCACCCTGCACTGCCTTATACAAGGCTCTGCACAAGAGAAGTCGCAGACGCTCTGCACTTCCGTTCATGGTCTGCGGACCACTTGGTCTCCGGACCGCTCACGGTCTCCGGACCACTAGGTCTCCGGACCGCTCATGGTTTCCGGACTACATGGTCTCCGGATCATGCAGGTTTGGGCAGAGCCGCAGCTTGCCCTTTCCTGACCACAGACCCCGGTCTGCTGGTTGGGCGTGGGCACGCATGCCACGCCATGCGCGCACTGCATGCATTTGCAAGGACACGCGTTGTTTTGCCTTGTAGTTTCACGGGGGGTCAACGCACCTCCTGCTCCAGGCGCACCCGTGCCCTGAAGCAGTGCTACTTTCAGCAATCCCGGTAAAAAAAACCGCGGCCGCTTCGGACTTGCTTTGTTCTTTTGGGTGGTCTTGTTTGGGTTCAAGCTAGGAGTAGTGCAACATGCCTTAACCGACAGGCGTCCTGTCATGTGCAGCTGGAACTGGGGCTGCGGCAGCCCGCAAGTACCAGACAGTAGGTAGCCACCCAGAGACAGACGGAAGAGCAAGGAGAACACAAGCAGCAGCAACAACATGTGCAGAGAAAGCTGCAATGTGGTAGTGCAATTGAACAACCTTATGCAGGCTATAAAAAGGAAACGCGCCCTCACAACATAGAGAAACACGAGCGAAAACGGTCCGAAGAAAACGGCGCCAGTCCTGCGTCAAGGAGCAGAGAGCCAATTTTGTCCACCGCCGCGTAAAAGTGACCGAACTTCACAGCGCCAGCCAATGTTTTTCCAGACGCAGTGTTTGGAGACAAGTGCGGGCGGGAGCCTTCAAACTCGAACATCGCAAAGCGTGGGGTCTTGTTGATGAAACGGCTTCTGCGAATGAAAATAAGCGCAGATGCACATGCGCCTCAAACGATCTCTCCATAGTGCGGATGTGCCAGCAATCTGCAGCTCTGCAGCCAGACCAGTCAGGAAACCCACAAACCGGTCAAAAAATGCTCAGGATTGCACCATCTTGCGCCGCCCAGTTGCCAGTGGTGTGTAGGTGAGATGCGCTTCCAAACCTTGCCGCCAACTTCCGGGCTCACGTCAGGTCGGGCTGGCAGGGCGTTGAATGTGGCCTCCAGGCAGTTTGCACTGCTGCCGCCTCTTCTCCCAAGTTCAAGGCCACCAACGCATCAACCAGCCTGCGCACGCTGCCTAGAGGCATTGTCAGGCACCTGGGCCAGCCCATGTCTCTTTCTTGGCGGCAGCGCAACACGCACACTTGCTCCTCGCGCGCTTAGTTCCGCCCATCGCCCCTACCCGCAAGACTGCTTCACAGAAGAAACACATTAACCGTTCTTGAGTCAAGCCCAGAGTTGCCGACGACGCACATCACGAAGGCTTGAGCGACACACACAAACAGTCAACTCGTACCAAATCTTGCAGTCTCTGTCCCCTCTAGCTCTTTTATTTTTGCAAGTTGTTCAGGCGCACGTTTGAGCCAAACTTAAACACAGGGGGGTTTAACCCAAACACGCTTTCAAAGTCAAGGCACAAACCGTAACCAAAACGTGTGTATAAACGAGGCGCTCGCCTTTCCTCGCCCGCCCGCCCATACATGCAGTTGACAGGGGATTACACGGGCGCAGTGGGAAGAACACGCATCAAATTTCTCGCCTCGATTCGCGCTACACATTTGGCGAGCGCACTTCCCCATTTAATGGGGAGGCAAGGAAAAGGTGCGAGCGCTTCAGCATGAAATCTCATTTTGTTACACTGCCTCCGGCTTATTCCGCTGTCCAATTCAATATCTCGATTTTTATCGAGATCCCATCCAACCCACCCTGAGCCAAAGCGAGGAGGAGGGTGTCATCACAACGGTGTTCAACAACTTTGTTGTTTCAGAGCCCACGTGACAATACAACGGTGCGTGTGTTAAAAGTGCACAGAAGCAAAATTTGAACTCAAACTATTACGTGCAAGTTGTTTTGATTGAAACAACTACATCACGGCTTGTGTCAAATATGGTATGCATCCCTGCGAGAGTTACTACGTTCTTTCTCTCTGTCTTCGTGGCTTGTGAGCCTGCGTCAGCCAAGTCGCCGCCGCGGTGAAACTGTACCCAAGGCAGTGCGCCCACGCACCCGCAAGCGAAAGCAGAAGCAAAAAGCGCAAGGATGGCTTGCTCGTTTCAGCAGACGCAGGGCAGCTCCCTCTCTAACCCTTGGCGCGCGAGCCTGCTGCAAACCAAACACACAAAAGGCCAGCACACCCGCGCCACCCACGGCACACCCGGCGCACTCAATTCTTTCCGTGTGGCCTGCCAAAGCAAACAACTTCTCCACGTCGCAAAGAGACCCGAGTCTGAGGCTGGCGCCCGATGCCCTGCACCTTCCGGCACCACGTCACCTGAACAGCGCTACTTAGCAGTTCTTGTAAACAACACACACACACACAGCCTTCGTCTGCTTGAGCAAGTGCACGTCCTAGGTCACAAAGGACCAAGACGTCAAGAGACAAACATTCTCTCAGTCTTGCCCTTCCCGTTCGCAGCTTTCTTTGGGGCCATGGCCTTGAAGCAGACAGACACACCAACGCAGACACAAAAGCAAACCGGCCGACACACAAGTACTGTACACGTCCACCACACACGGAGCACGATGTCAGACTGGGCCAGAAAGCTGCAAACGCACCACGTTACGTTGGCGCCCTGCATGTTGACGCCAAATTTCGGGCCCTGCGCAGCATGCTGGAAATGCAAGCGCCTTTGAAAAGGGCCGCCCTAGTACTAGGTGCAAACCCAAGCGCTGCAATGCTTGGCCTGAAACTCGGTCTCAGAAGGTGCCAACTGAGATCTCTTCACGGGCAGAAGGACGGGACGCGTCTCTGTTGGGCCACACCGAACCACGCCATGCTTGCCAAGCTGCGGCGACAAACAGGTCGCCCCGTGAAGTACTTGCAGTGGGTGCCGGTAAAGTCTAGTTCAGTGGCGCCACTGGGCACGCAGGCTTGAATGAAGCTAGCCTTGTCCCGTGTGCACAGCGTGCAGTCTGTCAGCTCATCTCTCCAGTCTCAAGAGAAGAAACTGCCCCGCGTTGCAAGTGGCCGCTTGGGGGGCAAAAAACCCGCGAAGGACTTGCAGTGCGCCCTCAATGGACTGTTCAGTGCGCCCTCAATACTTGCAGTGCGCCCTCAATGACAAGGTTATGCTGGCCCAGGCCTCTGTACAACGATATTGGATGCGAAGTCCAAGCGTGCCTGATGAGAGAAGAGCCTGGGCCCGTTGATCGCCACAGCAATCCGAAAGCTCGTTGTGAGGCTTCTCAGCTTACCCTCCCAAATACGACTCATTTTTTCACCGGCACTGTCATTTTTTGGAGAGGGTGTGTTCAACTCTTGGTTTGAACATGTCTGGCAGGCGGCCAACGCCTACATGCACGATTCGGCTGCAAGAGGGCAATGGATCTCGGTGCCAACATCTTTTAATCCAGCAGTTTCTCAGGATTGAATAAAGTGAAAAGGGCTCGAAGAGGAACCGTACCTTGCAACTTCCCTTGAAAGCAACTTCGGTGCTCCTGGCAAGCACTGCCTGGCCTTCAACAACCAGGCGGACCTGGCGGGTTGCGTTTCGCCGGCCGAGAGATTGGTGAAGGGGGCGAGAAACCGTCTCAAGTTATGAGAAACAATGCTTCCAGCAAAACAGCAAACCCATTGAGCGTAGTTTGACAACGTCAAGAACCAGCACGCTCTGCGCAAAGTAGGTTGACCGCAACACGCTCGTTGCCAGCTGTCCTAAACCCGCGCCTCAAATTGGGCAGAAATGAGTCCAAGTGAAGAGTGTCTTTGCTGTTGGCCCTTTTCCAGGTCTGGAGGCTTGAATCGCAACTCGTCTCCAAGCCCAGGTGGCCCCTTGGTGGCTAGGTCTTATGGCGCTCCGCCCGCTTTCTAGGGAAAACCAGAGCATGGATGGCGTGGTCGAAATCATGGTTCCTTTTTGGTGTTGTCTTGAAACTCAGGTCGTCGGAAGCCAGGGTTCTACAAAAAGGGACCGCTCATTCTCCTTGCGCAGAACTTTGAGAGACACCCCAGCTTGGGACTGCGCTGCCACGTGCCACGTGCTGGTGGATGGACTGGTGGAGTCGCCCGGAAGGCCCGGTGTTTGTTTTGGGCTCCGGACTCACCGTTCAAAACCCAGCGGCAACCTGCCCCCTGACTTGATTTATCGTGTTGCTGGCAGTAAGTACAAAGTAAAACCAGCCTGTGGTCAAAGCGCACACTTCAAGTCGGCGAGGCTGGGACTGGAGAGAGCGCACGAATCAGATGGTCTGAGCGATCGGGGGCCATTTCCCCGCACCCCAGCGTTCAGATGTCTGTGACGATGGGACCAGCTTGCGCGGCTGTTCGGCGAGGAGCTCTCGGGACAAAAGATCCTTGGGAAGGTACAGGTGAAATCCTGGCTGGGCAGCAAGCAGCTGACCTGCTCGAGGATTCAGATCCTCTAGGCGCGCGCTTTGAAAAAATGCTGATCAGAGCAGCTGCAGTCACATCCAAGCGTGGTCATGTGGCCACTTGACTTTGAGAACGGCCGAATGACGGGGGTTGTGACCTTGGTAGGATTCACGCTTGCCAACTGGGATAAGACCGAAGTTGCCAACAACAGATGCCACAGCAGCGATTTTTTTCAGGAGATGAGGCTCAAAAGTTCAGAAAAAGAGTTGTTCCACGCACCGCTTGAGGAGTCTGTGTGAGATTGGCAGCATCGGCGCAAGCGAGGGCATACAAAGGTCTGCATTATGGCTGGGAAAGCATTTGGGATGACATGGGCATTTCACGGATTCACGCAAACCCAAGAAGGAAAGAGGACTTCCATGCTTTGAGCTTGAAATTGAAGCCTTGTGGAATGGTGCACGCTTTGTCGCACGCCATGGACTTCCATCTGCAGCCCGACTTCCTTGCACTTTGGAAGTTGCTCGCACGCACACGAGCATCCTTGTTAGGGCGCAAGTTGACTTCGACGCGCTCTGGAATGCACGGGTGCCTTCCAACTGGGGGGTTTGTAGTTCCAGGAAATGGGGGTGTCTATTTTCAGGACGCCCGTTTTCGAGTACGCGGCAAGAAAACCGACCATTTGTCGGATGCCCCCTTTTAGAGACAAGCCCGTGTAGCTGTTTTTGCGTGTGTGCGTCATATATATTTGTATGTATATGTAATATATACAGTATTTTCTTGTACAAAGTCTGTCTGTCTTTGTGTTTGCTTGGTTGCTTTTCTTGTTTGTCTGTGTGCTTGTGCTTTTTGCTTGCTTGCTTTCTTGTCTTGCTAGTTTGTTTGCTTGTTTGCCTGCCTGTTTGTGTGTTTGTGTGTTTGTGTGTTTGTTTGTTTGTTTGCTTGTTTGTTTGTTTGTTTGTTTGTTTGCTTGCTTGCTTGCTTGCTTGCTTGCTTGTTTGTTTGTTTTTTGCTTGGCATGAGGCGCGGATTTCTTGGGCATGTCCTCTCCGAGGTGCTCGCACACGGACAGCGCTTGGCCGGTGCTAGGCAGGGATTCGGCCGGGGGGTGACAACGCCCAAGTGAGGGTTGCCCCTGTGGTTTTCCTGTTGGTTTCTTTTAAAACCAACCAAAAAAGGGTCCCCCCCAAAAACCGACTGGCGACTCCAGCGAAGCCTTGGACAACGTGCGCGAGTGTGGCGTTCTGCTTTTGAGACTTCGGTGGTTTGTCCATGTTTCCATTTGCCCCTTTGTGCTTTCCAGACTTTTGATACGGACTGAGGATCCTTTTCTGCGCTCATTGGGTGTGAAGCCCAAGTGGTTGGATAGTTGGAACAAGGCATCCTTGCTTTCTGGGAACCATGACCATCCACGAGAGATTTGACCGTATGGGTGTGTCTTGAGACAGGGGACCTCCTGTTGGATGTAAACAATTCGGGTCCTCGGACTGGGTATATGTCGAATTCGGTTGGACTGCTTTCTGGCCGAGGATGGCGAGACAAGACTTACCCATAAGGGGTACAGCTGTTTTGATCATTTGATCCTTCCAACGCAGCTCAAGTTCGATGACGTTTGAATCGCGTTTGCAAGTTGGCGGATCTTCTGTTTTGCACTTCTCATTCCATTTCCATCGCTTGAGAAGGCTATCGCAACTGGGAGTTGTTTTTTGCCTTCGACAGCTCCATGGCTTCGATGTGCGGACAGGGAAGCGAAAGGCCGATGACTTCACGGCGGGAAGCTGGAAGACACTTGTATGCCGATCGCAGCAGGGGCATGGGTCAAAATTTTGCCACCAGACCGCAGGTTTTAGGCCTTGGCTTGAATTTTACCAGAACAACCTATTTTGGGGTTACCTTATTTTGGAAAAAAAAAACGCATGGCACAGGATACAGGATTGAGACTCATTCTTTTCTACAGTGGGCTTGGGGATTTTCGTTGTTTTGGAGAGACGTGGGACGTGGGAAACCAGGCAGCCTTTTGCCCGCGAGCTTGTCTGAGGAGGAGAAAGCAGCAGTGCGCCAAAGACCTGCCTCAGCCACTTGGCCGACTTCTGGCCGTGCCTGGCCATGGGGTCGGGGTGGGTCCATGGCCCCATGGGATCAGGTGCCGAGAAGGCGTTTCCCCAGCGCCTGTTTGGATGTGAATCTGCCGGCTCGAAGCCGCTGAGGAGCCCGAGGAGTCCGGAGAGCGAGATGGCGATGTTTGGAGCGCCTCGGTCTCCTTGGGCAAAAATGGGCGGGGGAGTGGGCCTGGCGAGCTCTCGGCCGTGCCTTTTCGGTGGTTGGCCATCGATCCGCCCCTCTGGCGGCGTGTTTTTTTTTTCTTTCTTTTTTCGGCTGGCGTTTCAAGGGGATGGTTTTGAGCCGAGGTGCGTGAAACACCCTGAGAGGCCAGGTCCTAGCTTGAGCGTTCCTTTTGGTTGGTGATGTTGACAAACGCCTGGCTTCAAGCTTCCCTGAATCAAAAGGATGGGTTTGCCTTTCTGCCCCTAGTGGGGACCTTTGGTGGACGTAAGTGTAGCTTTTTGTTTACAATCCTGGAGCTGTTCACAGGAGACATTTTAGAGAATGGTAGTCTTTCAAACCCTCCTTTTTGGTCCACTTCTTTGGTCAGCGTGATTCTCGTTTTTTGCGGTCTTTTGCTGGTCCGCATTGGTGTCGTCTTCGTCTCTGTTTTTCCGCTTCTGGAATGGGAAGCCACGCTTTCCCCATCCACTCTCACCGCATTTGTTAAAGTTCCAGTTTGGCGGTGGCCCGCATCTTAGCATGGCTCGCGCTGACGCATGATATTCTCAACATCAGACACCTCTGCCAAGGGTCGTATCCGAAAAAGGTGTTCACGTTGAGACAGACCCATTGACTACAGCGGAGCTGGAGGAAAGGCGCTTGCTACTTTCGCTCCTCGCGGGCAAAATTCCGCGGGGTTTGTCCTCAAGTTGGCTGATCTGGCCTCATGGTCGTGGGGCAATGTCTTTGCCATTTTCTCTGAGCGGCCGAGGACACAGTTTGATGTGACAAAACAGTCATAGGCCACTCGATGGCAAATCCTTTTCCGGGTCCCGAAAAAGGGCTGCGGGGACTGCCGAACAAATGGCGGTCGGTCAAACATAGGTACCCAAAAGGGACCCTGGCAAATGGAACAGTAGACTAAAGCCTGCGGTTTTCGGGTGACTTATTTTTTCCCCATACCCAAATGGTTGGTTCCTGTTAAAAGCTACAAACAAAGAGAACCTACCAAATCAAGCTGCCCATGGGGCTGCCGGCCCAGGCCTTCGGCGAAAGCTGCGTGGAGGATCTGCCCAATGTCCTGGTCAGTGGGTGCCTGGTGGTGGCCTGGTGGAAGACTGCCTTTGCCCAATGCTGTCAAGGTGCCGTCTCCTTGCAAGGGGTCCCGTAGTTTACTCAGATGTGGCATTCTTCTTTTGAGGTCAAATGACTGCCAAGAGAACCACCCTCTGTTTCCCAAAAATGTTTCCATTCTGGATTGCGCTGGAGAAGGAAAGAGGCGTAACAAATACCATTGTGTTTCTGAGGACTTCCCTTGACATCTCTTGCCTATGATCAACAATCCCAGCCACTTCTCTCTTCCTGGCTGGAGGAGATGGTCTGGGGGAGAGAATTCCAGGGGAGAGATGACCCTTCTACCTTCGTTCACCATCAATCTCATGTCTGAATCAAGGACCAACCACGATACACATAACAACACTATTATTACTCTTAGTTGTGTTTTCATTGCCCATTGTTTTATTATTGTTCATATCATTATTACTATTCATGATTTCATTGTTTGTATTATTTTCCTTATTTTTCCTTTATTTGTTCATTAGTATTATGATTATTATTTTTCATTATTATTATTATTTATTTATTATTATTATTATTATTATTATTATTATTATTATTATTATTATTATTATTATTATTTATTATTTATTATTGTTTATTATTATTATTATTATTATTATTATTATTATTATTATTATTATTATTATTATTATTATTATTATTATTTATTATTTATTATTGTTTATTATTATTATTATTATTATCATTTTGATTATTATTTTTACTATTACTATACTATGGCAATTATTATAATTAGTAGTATTATTATAATAATACTTATTATTATGTATTTATTATTATTATTCACTATTATTATTGTTATTATTATTGTCATTATTATTATTAATCCTGTTACTATTGCTGTGACGATTTTATAATTGTTGGTCGTATTATTATAATTTGTATTATTTTTGGTATTATTATTTTATTGTTGGTCTTGGGACTTTGGAGTAGACACTGATGGCTATCACTCCATTCACCCATTTGGGGTCTTTTGAGAGGACTCCAAAGGGAGCACCCCCCCTAATGTTGAGCAACACCCAGAGAATCCGGAGTTAGCTAAGGTTGAGTAGGACGGGAAGTTTCCCAAGTACCCTAAGTTAGTCATGGATTGTCTTGCCTGTTGAATCTGCCAACCTTGGTCTTTTTGCTGGCAAGCGCCTTCATGGCTTTTGTTTGGGAACTTTTCCCAGTCAACTGCGAAGGGACCCTCTGCTCATTTGTCTATATACGGGGAGGTACGGTGCCCCAGGTTGTCCCATATCCAAATATGGAAGTGCACATGGCTTTGGAAGTCTTCTGTTGTGAAAGGGCCCCATGCACCTTTTTCTTGGACTTTGTTATCCAGTTGACTCCATGGGTAATGGGCAGCGTGCAGAATGAGCCAATCTTCCTGAAACCACCCAGCGAACCGTTGAACTTGCTTAGGCTGAGTTCCTCTTTTGCCATCGTCAAAACACCCTTTCACTTTGTTGGCATGGTCATCGACCCGCGATTTTGGACAAGATTTCCCACAGCCCAATGTTTGATGACAGAAGGCCTCAGAGTCCAGTATTGTGTGCCCTTGAAAGGATGTCATGCTTGTAAGGGAATGGCCATGGGCTACAGATGGGGCTTTGGAATTTTCGGTTTGGTCAGAATCTCCAGCAGTCTTTGGTCAAGTTGGGAACATTTGGGATACGAAATTTCTGATTTCCCACAGGAACCAGGCAGCGTCCATCGAATTTCCCAATACCGTTGCCGTTTGGTTACACGTCGGCAAATCAAAACCAGGTTGTGATGATGGTGTTGCTGGGCATGTTCTTTGCTGAGTCCATCCTGGTGAAGATGATGCTTGGCCGAGACGGGATTACCAAGTGGTTTTACGGATTTTGAATTCCACAATCAGGATTTCACTTCCGGAATTCAGTAATTCCACTGGTTCACCACTTTAGCAGAGACCTTCAATCTCTTCTTTTTCCACGTCACGACCTTGGAGCTGGTGTCGCACATATCTTTATTGCACCTTGTTAGTACTGGTGTTCTTCCAGTCCCTGATTCTGCGTTTTCTTGTGTTCTAGGCCCCACCTTGCATGTTGCGGCGCCTTGTTGATGTCCCTCCCCCAGACTGACATGGAAGCTCCCAGGACCCTTTGAGTGTGGACAAAATGCGCGGAGCTATTGCTCCAGCCGTCACTATTGGTTGCTATTCTTGGAATGCCACGGAGACCCAGCGCACGACCCGACAAATCCGCAACATCCAGCTGCTTTGCGGACTACGACCCAGAGTTTTGCCTGTATGACAGAAACATGATGCAGAACCCTGAGATGGTTGGCCTTGGGCTGAATTTAGGAAGTCCAGCACTTTGACACAGGTGAGAGGCAAAACCCCTTAGCTGATGGCGATAAATATATGCCGCTCGAGTCGAGGAAGCCAAGGACTCCTTAGCTCCAGAAAGCACATCAGGCCAGTGAGGAGCCCAAGGAAAAGTCAGCCGCGAGGCTTCAGCCTTTGGGACTGCAAGCCTTGAGAAAAATGAGAAAAACGTCCGGGGCAGAGGAAGGAGTGGATGAAGCGCAGGGATGGTGAGACCGGCCAAGGCTCTCAGGAAAGCGCTCCCAGGTCGACCTTGCCAAGAGCAGCGCGGTGAGTTTCCTGAGGCCCAAGCTCTAAAAACTCGCACAGCTGCGGAGTACTTTCTCGCCGCACTTCGAGTGCCTTTCTCATTCCTTTTCCGGTGAATGCGCATGGTCCACTTGAAGGTGGCAACCTTTGCCACTGCAAGTCTGAACAACCAATGTGAGGTTCGGATAGAGAGGGTTCGTTTCTGAGCAACTTGGACCATTTTTTCGAGAAGCTTGGGGTTCTCGATCCGCGAACATTTGGATCACCGATCCATATTTCGGCTTCGCTGGGGAAATGTAGAGGCTCTTCATGTTTGTCTCGCGTGGCTTCTCTCCTTGACATGCAACGATGTGCTCATGCTTCTCATCTAAGATGCTTTGTTCACTCCCAAACTACCCGCTAAATAGGGGCTCGGGAAAGGAGGGTTTCCCCGTAAGTTTCAGGTGGATTGCAAAGCATTGCGGACTGCCTGCATTTTTTGTCCAATTTAATTCAAGCTCAAATAAATGGGTATTGCAGGCTGGTGGGAGACACAGAATCCAAAAGGAAACCCAAGAGTCGTGCTTAGTCAGGATATGTGCCGGCGTGCTTTGCTTGATGGCTATGATCTTCCTGGTGAGCCAAGCGGCTCGGCTGAAAAATCCCGTCACTTTGAGGCTGCGAGCTTGCAATCATCAGACACATAAAGCAGCTGAAACGTATGACGCCCAGGTGCTGTCGATGACATATGAGGGCGCTTGTGCCATTTGAAGGGCGGTGAATTTATTGCGGCACATCTCCGCGCATAGAATTTAAAGTTTGTCAGGCAGCAGAGCCACAATCAAGAGCCAGTATTCAACAAGTCTCCCCAAAATTGATGGTAGCAATGAGCCCATTTTGCAAGGGGACTGTCCCCAATTCTAAGCTTCACGTTTTTTGGTGGCTCAATTCAGTCGTTCCGGGCTGGCGCCAGGGCGCTAGTGGGACAAAGCGCCCAAGACCGGCGACGGGTTTGCAGGGGTTTTCGGGTTCACTCATAGATGTCCTTTCAAGTCATTTTGACAATGCATGGTACTGGTTTCATGAACTTGTAATCATGTAGGTCTCGGTGCCGTCTATTTTTCCGAAAGGACACCTAGGGGTTAACTCAGCATGTTCCACCGGGCGCAATCGCCGATTCTGCGGCCTCTGCCTTGGGCTTGGATCTTTGTGATCAATGGTTGGTGAACATGCACTCTTCAAACGTGATGCAGATCTGGGTATGGGTCAAATTTTTCACCACCAGAGGACCGCAGGTTTTGGTCCTTCGTTCCATTTACCAGGGTCCCCATTTTGGGTCCCCATTTGTTTGACCCACAGCCATATACCATTCTTTAGTCTTGTTCGCAGGCATGAAAATCCGCGGAGGCTGGGAAACGGCATGTCTATAGAAGCCCGGGCAACGGCCCTCCTAGGCGCTAGTCTGAAAGGCCGCGCAAGCGGGGGCGGGATGGGGGGGAAAATCGGGTGGACGGGTAACAGCCGCAAGTGGGAAATTCATTTGACGGGTCAGTCCTTACACTTCTCTTTTTGGGGGTGGTCCAAGCTCCTGTTGGGATCTTCCTCACAGGTTCTTGAGTGGACTAGCATGCGGGTTTTTTTTCACAAGCTCGGGGTCCATTCAAGTAGCATTTCAGCAAGTTCTGAACATTTCTGAGGTGTTCGAGGGGAAAAGCAGAGTCCAATCTGAACATCTGCTTGTTGTGAGGTGCGATCTTTAACCGGAGCGATTGGATCCACTCTTTGAACTGTAACCGTGAGGGCGTCACGTTCCTAAACATGTGCTCTCTTTCTTTTCTTTAAACAAAAATGTTTTTGTTTTCTCCGCAGGCCCGGGCCGCGACGAAAACCCCCGAACCACATGCAAGGGCTCCGGACTGCGGAAACGATACTTCGGGTTACTTGATGGCGCATTGGACTTGTCATTGCTTTTGGAAGTCAAATGGACCCCCGTCGAGACACATGGCTTGCACGGGGCTGCTTCTGAGGCTCTCAGTTCGGGCGAGTGCGATTTGCGCATTCCGAGCCCGCATGGAATCGAGGAACATGGGACGGGCAAGCGCCGGGTGCATTTGTTTGGAGCAGTACGTGGTTTTGTATGACAGAACTCCCACACAAGAAGTTTTGCTTCTCAGACTGCGCCGAAACGGGAAAAGAGCTGGGGAAACATCCGCGCACACACACACACCAGAAGTCAGCACACACACACACACACACACAGAAGTCCGCGGACACACACACACACACATACACACGATGCATATACAAGCTCACATCCACACAGACATAGCACACGAAACATGGCACGCGCCAAGAGCCCAACCAGAAAGAGCATTCAAAGTTCAGGCCAACAAATCACACGAGCAACCCAGTAACTCATACTCAGACTGATCGTCTGCTGCTGGTTTCGCGGAGGACCAATAGTCCCTTTCAGGGTCCTTCTGGAAGACAAGTTTTTGTCTGGGCTCACAATCAACAGCTGGCACTGCTCTGCGCGTGCAGCGCTTTATCGCGCTGGACGGCGCGCCGCAAGGAAGGCAAGACCATGATTAGGGCGTTCAAGCAGCTCTAGCCCTTTTGCAGGGCTCCTTAAAAAGATACATTTTGCCCATTTTGAAACATGGCTTTTTCCACCAAAATAAAGGGAAACACCATTTACAAGGCAATGTTCAGGTGGGATCCCTGTTTTGTGGCTTTTGTTGGTTGCGCAGGTTTTGAGCTTTTCTTTTGCCAAGAGGCCATTTCGGAGGTGACCTGTGTTTTGGGCTGCCGCTATAGTTGGATCCTGGGGCATCTTGTTTTTAGGCATGCCACATATTCGCTGATGTAGACAACCATTGTAAGGGCTTTGATTGAGACAACCACGGCCCACGTAAGGAGTTTGGAGCATTGGACCTGACTGTCAGAACTATCAAGTTTATGGCCACTCTGGGAGGGACATCGCGGGACGGGCTCTCAGTTTCAATCACAAGAACCACACTTGTTCGATGTTTGCAGACACTTCAGATTTTGATGGTGGCCTTTTCGGGCCTTTCAAAAGTCAGACATGACAGGGAATTGGTGGCCCGTGTTTTCCTTTCAACCTGCGCCGGCCGCATTTCTCTGAGTGTCCTTTGAGAATCGGACAGTCGAGGGCTCGTTTGGCCGGCTTGGATGGGTGACACCCGTGCACGAGTACGATCAATTGGGCTCATGGGTAACAGTTTTGCCCAAAGTTTGGAGAGGTCTGGTTGAAGCAGCTTGCAGGAACTGCTTCCCCGAAGCCCAGCAAGTGTTCAGCCCCAAGAATCCGGGCTGAGCCTTTTCTCAGCCAGCTCTAATACCTTTCAGCCCCAGGAAAAAACAACAACGCCCACTGTTCGACTGCGGGATGCGAGGCATGGTCAGTCTTCAGAGGCTCAAGGACGGTGCCAGGGTTGGGCAAACATGTCTCAACCCACTGGACCAAGACTTTGCTTCTCAAGCAGAACCCAAGAGCTAAGCAAGCGTTGAGTCAGTTTGCTTCGAACGGGGGGCTGCGTTCGACCGAGGCTTTTTTTGCGGGTTTGGCCGGCAGTTTGAATCACCCCTCCCCTCCCAGATGTGGCGAGATGAGAGCATGGCCTACTGCAAGCGCGGCATCATGGCCCCAGTCCCTGAACGTCGCAGCTGGTTTTTTTCGTGGATCGCGCACAGAAAGGAAGCAAAGTGGGGCGAACGAGCCACAGAGTTGGTGGGTTTGCTCGACACAGAGACCTCTGTTCTTCTCTGGCGCTGGGCGAGAAAAAATCTATCTTTGACTTGGGGATATGGAGGGGAAAGAACTCGAGGCAGGGAGCCAGTGAGTTTTTTTGTACTCAAACAAAGCTATATGTTTTAGCGATATGGAGGGGAAACGAATCGAGGGAGAGTCCACAACGAAGTGCCTCCACTCAAACAGATCGGGGTCGTCCATCGGCGGTTCCCACTTGCTGTAGGAGCCCTCGGAGTCCGCGATGCCATTGGCCCAGTGCGAGCATGTCGTCTCAGGTCTCGCCGCCGTTTTGCCGAGCGTGGCTGAAAGGCCCGAACAGCTGGAGGTCTGGTAATGTTAACCCCGGATTACAAAACCCTGGTGGATTAGGGGGATGTCCCCTTTTAGTGGAGATTCAGGCCACCTTTGGAGGGAACACCCCCTAATAATGGGACGGGCTTGTTAATCCTGGGTCAACAATACCCCACAGGAACCCCCAGATGCTGGATTCTGTCACCAAGCGGTCCATGAGGTTGTGTGGTCTGGTTGTGGTCCAGCAAGTTGTGACAGGCTTCAAAGCTGTGGCATTGACAAACCGGTCACCACTCAGCTCCGGGAATGCAATTTCAGCTTCAACTAGCCGGGTCAGACAACTGCTTGTTCTGCGGAGATGTGCTTTGAGCCTACTGCTGGAATGGTACTCTTTCAACCACACCTGGCACGCAGTACCTCTCTCAAAGGCATATGCAACGTGATGCTGGTCATGCGCCTTACTGGCGTCGGCTGCTAGTCCAACGGCAGTAGTGAACACCTTGCTGCATGTTCCGCACGTGTGTTTCCCCTTCTTCTGCCTCATCCGCATGCGCGGTGACTTGTCCTGCTTTGACTATGACAGGCGCCCTCCCACTCGGAGGCTTGCTGCTGGCGCGCTCTGCATCTGCGCAGCTTGTGCACAAGCTCTGTCAGGTACTGCTTCCACTCACTTGGGCTTGATTTCACGTCTGCGTCAATTTTGGCAAAATCACTTTGGCCAAGGTGCTCTTTGAGACGGCGAAACGGCTGGATTGCAGCAGCCCAGCGTACATCTTCGCGGACTTGCGCGAGCCAGGTGCCTTCTAACCGTATTAGCGCCCAAAGGACCGGCGACAACACGCGCCCGAGGTGCCGCAGCCTTTCGGCGCTGAGCATTTCGTGCGGCCAAAGCATGCGCATGCTCTGGACAACTTCAGCGTCTGAGAAGGCTCTTGAGCGAAAGCCGCCAACACGCCGGTGCGCCCGCCGCATGCGAAAGGCTTCTTCTTCATGCTGAGTTCGAAAGCAATCGGCAGGAGCTTATTTGCAAAGATAGGGGAAGGGAGAGGCTGCAAGCTCCAGCCGAAACCTTATCTCAGGACGCAAAGTCCCACTGCCGACAGCGCAGCTTCCTAGATGCTGGTACTGCTCTGTGATTTGTATCTTGGCTGTGTCAAGATTAGCCCCAGCAAATTCGAGCCACCCATTCTGCTCGATCAACAGTTGCCTGCGTAACTTGGCAGTGTTTTTCCCACGCAACTGCAAAGCAACTGCAGATTTGCCTGGCTTCAAGTTGAGTGCAACTCCAACACTTCCAAGCCTATTCGGGACAATTTCTAGTGTTTGCTGCGCAGCAGCAATCAAGCTGTGAGGGTCGGCGTTGCTCAACAGAAAAGCAACATCATCAGGACATTGTCATGGTGCTGTTGCTGCTCGCTGGTACTGTCTGCAAAGGCGACACCAGACACACCGTCCCATGCATCCGACGCTGTCAGGCCGGCGTTTGTCATGGCCTGCTCTGTGTTCCTTGTGAAAACAGCGAAAGCGTATGCCTTGTCTGGCTCCTGCGAAAACCACCTGTTCTGAAACAGAAGTTGAACAACGTGCCGGAGATGCACCGGCATGCGCAAGTGTGAAGGCAGCTGGTCTTTCAAAAGCCGCACACAGACGTTCTGCCTCTTGACCATGTGAGCGCTACAGCAGGCCTGCGCCTCTTCTCGGCATCATATGAGTCTGCCCACAACACGTCTCTGATAAGCGCGTGAAAAGCTTGTTGGGAGTTAATGAAGATGGAGTTGTGCACATTCTTTG